TACTTTAACTTAATAAAAAAAAATACTTTGTCTATATATTTGTACCAGTTTACTTTTATGACTTATTTAAATATAAAAGCACACTAATAGGTTCAGGGCACATTAATAGGGACAGTTACCCTAATCTTTCCCGCTACGTGACGGCCTCGAAGGTTTGCCGACTGCCGAAGTAGCGCACGAGGAGTCGTACCCTTTTCGTAGAGGTGCCCCTGCTCGAGCCTGGTGTCGATGTGCAGCAGAAACTCCCGGTACCACGACGTCAACTTCTCGAGAACGGTGTAATCGTCATTCTGGAAGACGTCAAGTATGTTGCACTTGAATTGAAATTGATCCTCGATAATCATTGCACTCGCGAATAAGTTCGAGCAGAGAGGACTTTAACTGGTACTTCGCGTACTACGGAGGCGGAGAGGATACTCTTTAACGGAGGGCCGGTTGTCACCGTCCATTCATAACCATTCCGTTTGACTGTTGCACCGTCGGCTGACGCGTTCAAAACATTTTGAATCGCAGTGGCGCCAACGTTGCGCCGCGAATATCGCTAGAATTCGAAGTCGGTAAAGTAGAACGTCGCTGTAAATCGATTCGCGCGTTTTCCTTTGAATATAAAGAAACATATTTTATAGAAATCGACAAAATTGTTAAAAAAATAAAAAAAGAGTGCACTTCAACGGAAAGCGATATGCCGAGTCGTGAAATTAATAAGTCTGTTCTTGTCAGCTGAACCTCTCGAACGATTCGCTTTTCATCTTTTAATCTTCGCATTTGAGAAGAAAAAGAGAGAAAATGTATGACGAACGGTGCAAGAATTAGCGACTGAGATTGTGACCCAAGAAAGATGAATCAAATTGAAGTGAACTATTTTATCCACTGCACGGCAGTCTTTAATTAATATCGAGATAATCGGGACATTAACCCCTTGAAACTTGAATTTGCACCTTCTTTCAACTTAATTATTATCTTTTTTTCTAAGACTGAAATACCACAGACACGCGCCACATTTCTTGACATATTTTTTAATAAATTGCAGTCAAAAGCATATCAATTTATTTTTCTGTGTGTGCATGTACACACACGCACACGCGCGCGCGCGCACACACACACACACAAAATAGATTAAAAATTAAAATTTAGAAAAAAATTCTTTTGAATTAAGTTTCAGATTTATTCCACGTTTATTGATAAAATTGAGCACTTTTATTGCACTCGCACAAAAAACATATTGTTAAAACATTCGACGACAGCCACTTATAAAATAAAATACGACCAATTGAGATGACGTCAATTAATATCACAGAAAAAAGGTAATAGCTAGAGATTATTTAGATCTTAAAATTATTCCCTTAATAAAGAACTGTTTTTCAGAAGATCAATACGTATTAAAACACACTTGCAATGAATTCTTTAAATTTTTTTGAACTTATACACATTTTTCATAGTTATCACAATTGCTCGTCATACAGTTATGTGGGCAATGGTTCGCGCACTTCTACAATATCAATGGCATTTCCGACATTTCAAAATAAAAAAAAAAAATTGTCATCCTCTTTCTAACCACAAGTCTACTGCCCAAGCAACAAATAAAAATACATTTAAAATAACGTATAATAAACTAAAAAATAACTGCTTATAATTTAATTCATCTTTAAACTATTTAACGAATATTATAAAAATGTTTTGTAAAACGCACTTTATTATTATACTACATTATACTATAAATATATCTTTTTACTATACTATATTTTAAAATATTATTTTAATATAAGACATTCCAACAATTTAATAAACATATATTTAATAAATAACGGCTATTTAACGTTTTTTGTATACCACAAAAACGTTTCGTCTAAACATTTTTTAAACTTAAATAATCTGCTTGGGCACCGACATACCTTTCAGCAACTTAATTCACTTATCTTTTTTCCAAAACACCACGCACCTTATTTTTTTTTATGCAACTTTGAATAACTTTGAATACAATGGATGTCATAGCGAGTGTCACATGCAAAAAAACACGCCTACGACAAAAATTACGTTCACATACATTAGAATTATACTGAACTCTTGTACATTGTATTCAGCTTGATTGACGAATAGTCTGTAAGAGCGATCGAAAAAATACTTTCGTCTTTAACTCTTCCTAGTAGTTACTCGAATCCTAGGCCGTCGTCGAATCGAAATACTGCGCCTGCGTCCACCACTTCCAGACTGCCATCCTCCTTCAAAATCAAAAACTGTTTTCTATCCTCGCCGCTGTCTCCGCTCGCTTCCGTTTTTTGCGCGGGATTTGAGCCCGAGTTGGACTCGAGTCTCGTCGTTTTCTTCGAGTCGTCAGGCAGAATGTACATCGGTTCTTGGGAAGATGTGGAATCACCTTTCGTAACAGAAGTTTTTTTTCTCTTGAAATAAAGAGCGACCCAAAAAATCGTCCCGTTTTTGGGCCCATTTTGAGACTGAACTGTGTGCCAAGTGGTACCTTATAATGGGGACATTAATTATAGAGAAGTTTCAAGTTGAGGTGACAATTGTTATCAGAGCCGGAGGAGGGGGAGGGATGAAATCAAAGTTCATTATAGAATTATCACAGGTCTGCGAGGATCCGGTTATTTTAAGAGGGTTGATCCAGCCGATGAAGGTTGATCGCAGTTTTACATAAATGACGCTCGTTTTGTATGTAACAAAATCGAGTTTTCGCGTAAAGAGACTTAAGAAGTGACCTCCCCCTCCAGCTGTAATAACAATTGTCACCTCAACCTGAAACTTCCCTGTGATCGATATCTCATAAGACACCATTTGGCACACAGAGCAGTTCCAAAATCGAAGGCCCCCCAAAAACGGGCGAAAAAAAACCATCTTTTTTGGGGTCACTCTTCACAGGAATTGTATTAATCTATCGGTAGTAAATATACCTACTCGTTGGTAAGATGCTGGAGACATACAGATGATCGCAATTTGACAGAGCTATCAATGGCGGCGGCGTGGTTTGAGTAGTCAAGACTAGTTGAGTTTGCTCCACAGGTATTGCTTTGTTGACAACTCCAGAATTGTCTGCAACGCAATCGATAATGTGTCACAATTTATTTAATTGTGAAAACAAAACTACAGAAAGCAACGATATCATAACAATCTTTTTTTTTCAGCTCAGTAGATATCCAACCTGTCTTATTCTCCTTGTTGGTCGAGTCGCTCGCCTTGCTGCAACTGTGCTTCTTGCGCTGCTGCGTCATCAGGACGTGGCCGCAGTTGTCGCAGACCTGCTTCTCCTTCAGATGCTCCCTCAAGTGGTGAATCATGAAGGAATTGAGATGCGTGGTGTATTTGCACTTGTCGCACTGCAGCCAGGAGGGCGATTTCGGCGGTGCCCTCTTGTGACCCTCCGAGTTGTCGTTCTTGCTCGGCGATTTAGCGACGGCGGCGACGGCGGCGGCGGCCTCCCTCGCCGCGCAGGACCTCGTGATCTGCGGCGGCTGGCAGGACCTCGGCTTGTCGTTGTTGCGAAGCTCCCCGTCCTTCAGGCAATACTTCCTCTCCAGGAAGCGCAGCACGTGGTTCCGCGCGTTGCGCATCTCCGTCTCCAGCCGGTCGAGGGTGTTGACGAGCACGCCGCAGCTACGGCAGATCACGTCGTCCTCGGATATCACGACCATGTATCTGCGAGGGGGGGGAAAAAAAAAAAAGAAAATCGAATCTTACTCACAAACGTCTCCGCGCTGATCGGCACGCGCGCGAGAAACGCCAACGTGCCGCGGGTTAGGCTTAATTAATGCAGATTTATCACCCCTCGCCGACCAATTCTCCGAGTTTCTCGATTACTTTGGTCCGCGTGGTCTGCGTTCTGCACGTGGCCAGGGCGTAGTAGCGGCCCAGGACGTCGGCGTCGCAGATGAAGCATCGCGTCTGCTCCTGCACGTTTTTATTGCTGTTGTTGTTACTCCCCTCGCTCATGATTCCGCAAGGTGCAAGCGAAAACTCGCGCGTTTCAACTGTCAAAACTACCGTCCGCTCCGGACGGAACACGAAGCCGCGTGAACGCCGAAGATTAGGTTAGATTAGATTAGGTTAGGTCGGCAGGCGAGCGAGGAAAAACAAATCCTCATCGGAATCGGAAAGTTTGTATTTATGACAGAGAAATTGTGTGCAAACGAACTGTTACATACATTTACTTGCATTGTTTATATATTATATATAGTATATTTATATATTATATATATTTATATATTATATATTATATATATTATATATATATATTATATATATAGTATTGTTTTCTTGTAGATTTTCCTTGAAATCTCGCGTCCAATATATAGATGCAAAAAAGTATGCAAAAATTAAAAAATAAATTAGAAAAAAATAAAAAGAAATAAAAAAATAAAAAAACAGAAATTAAAACAATTGTGAGAAACAGAATGTATGTATGACGTATGTACTAGAGAAAATGATGGTATATCCCTTATGTATTTTATTTATTTTGACAAAAAATACGGAGCGAACATGTTCGATAAAGTATATTTTATATAAGATAAAAAATAACGCGACAAGTAAATTTTTCTAATAAAAAAATCATTTTTTGAAGACGAAGAGAAATATACGGTCTTCTTTTCTTTTTATAAATTTTATCGAATTATTTAGGCTGCGTTCGCTTGATGCTCATAGCATCATTTCATCCTTGTTATTTATCAAATTAAACAAAGACAAATGATGCTTATAAGCGCTGTAAGCACCAAATCAAACGCAACCCAAGTGCCTCAGAAAAAATGCATTAAATACAGTTCGATTAAAGCTTGTATTTAACATTTATAATTGTAACTACATAAAAAATTTTATTTAATTATTTCAATTACACATGGCAAATCGAATAATAAATAAGCAAATATTTCTTAATTATTTTTTGAATTTTTTGAATTTGTAATGTGCGCAAAAATTAATATTAAAATTAATAAAAAATTAATAATTGATATAAAAGCTATTAAAAAAAAAATCGTAAAGTGTCATTCTAATAAAGAAAGCGCAATATTAAATAAATGCAATTTTAAATAAATTTCCTGAATATATATATTTTTCTAAAATCTTAAAAATTATCAAGTAAAAATTTATTTAATTTTAATAGTTGAAACAATTAAAAGAAGAATTTCTTATATAAGTATATGTATATAGAAATAATTAATCTAAAACAAAATTCTATTGATTTTTATCAAACGTACGTGTAATTCACAGATATTTGTTACCGTACATTGAATTCAAAAGAAACGGTTGATAGGATATAATTGGATCTATTAATATATCCCAATCAGTAAATAATATTTTTTAAATATTTAGATGGATTCCTTCAGAGATCAAAAGAATCAATTAATATTTTAATCAGCAGATAATATTCTTTAATGTTTAGGATTATTTTAGAGGATTTTCGAATTTATTTTCGTTTTTTTAATGTAAATGTTGGTTAACCTTGTTGTGTAATTATAATATAAAGGATAAGAAGAACACACATAATTACTTTAACAATAGTAGTTGGCACAACACATATATTACTCTGTATACTTTTCTTGCTTAAGCAGTACAGAACCCGCTGCTGAAGTAGGAAGAATCATTTGGTGCAACTTATGCTGAGGGAATTTTAACTGAAAAGATGATTTCGATCTGTAAAACAAGAAGCGTTCTAGGCAAAAGTAAATTTGACTTTAAGCGTTGCTGCGGGAAAAATTACGATTCAGTGAAGTGTTAGGATTTGCAAGAAGATTACGATATATTAATCGGAGTACTGTAATTCGACGCTTTTATGGAGTGGGAAGATTAATAAAGTAAAATTATCACACGAATTGTTAAGAATACTTAATCCCGAATTACTATCTGTTTTTTATTTGAAATCAGTACAGATAAACGGTAAATCCTTTTTGTATACAATTTTTATTGGAGATAAAAAATGAATTTACGATAATACGACAATCCTAAAAATCCATTACATCGTATATGCAAAAAGAAATATTCATAATCAGGTCCCTCTCCTACGAATCTAATGGGACATGCAAAGAGTGCTCTATTATAAATTGTTGCTCATCAAGTGAAGCTGTTGTCACAGACAACGTCGCGGTCAACAATTGAGGCACTGGAATTGAGTGGGAATTTGAAACGTCCAAAAAACGCTCGTATTTTACAATTAAGGGAGAACAAGATCATTCTTTACAATATTTGGCCCAATATCGTGACGCTGGAAACATTATTAATTGACCTATTAATAGAAAATTCTGTTACATGGCATATTCTCCAGATATCGCCCCTCTTCAGTTTACCATTTATTTCACATTCTATGCAGCACAGCCCGGTTCACAGTTTCGCAATTCTGACGAATTGCGAAAATGGACTGATAACGCTCCAAGAACAAGGACTTCTTTACTACGACATATTGTTTGCTTGACAAGTGATAAAAGGTAATAAATATATATCGGAAAATATCTACTAAACGGAAATGGATTGAAATTTTAAATCATGGATTGAAATGAATTGGTCTTCGTGAAAATGAATGCATTTCTGTAAAGGCCAATCCATTTCAATCCATGGTTTAAGCAATTTTAATTTGTTTAAATTGAAAAAAATATTTTACATTTCCATTTACTGAGTATTTCGATATAAAAATGTTTTTTTTATCAAATAAAAATATATAAAATTGTTTTAAAAACGATGGAAATTTTGTACACTTTTTTATATAAAGGAATGTAAAGTTATCAAGAGTAATTTACATTATTTTGAATATTATGAGTAACTTGTTATCCACATATCAAAGTCATTTTTCCTTTAATTTTGTTATTAACGCGATAAAAAAAATGACGCAATATTAAATTTTATTTTTTTTCTTTTAAAAATATATAAAATTTTTTAAGGCGCACACGCGCGCGGGCACACACGAAACTGTTTCTACTAACAATTAGTCTTACTTTAGAAAGTAATGTGTGTGAATCCAGATTGATTACAATATTTTTTTAATTTATAGATATATGGAAAAGAAAATGCAAGCTCAACAAGAAAAAGTATATTAATAAAAGTCTGCCCTTGAAAAGATATTTAAAAATTCATTCAATTGATCATAAGTGTAGTGTAATCAATATATTTTTATGATCAATAATCGGATTCTTTATCTTCTTTATCTACTTAGAAGTGAATAGTTTTTTAAGTACATTTTTAAAGTGTTTCTTGTGATTTTAAAAATCATATAAACTCGATGTCTTAAAGAGCGTCATAGTTATGTCATTAAAATTTTTTATATCTCGGTATTAAGATACGAAATAGATACTCGCTTATTTGCTGTAAAACCATTCTCATATATGCAGATATTTTGTAAAAAAATTTTTTTAGAAACGTCTATATCTTGTCTTATCGCTTCGGGACTTAATTACAGTCCACGCATGCGATTACCTTCTTTTCTCGAAGTGTATCGTCCTTCAATGTAATAATGAATTGTTATCACATCGAGAGAAACACGTGATAATGGAAAGGAAAAACGGAAAATATCGTGCCGCATTCGGTCGGCGCGATTCGCGCGCGTATGACCGATCTCTTCGTGTCGTACGAGCAGCCTAAATATAGAGTGACACTGTGGCATTAATTTGTTGAATGGAAAGATAGGTGCGTTCATGCTCGAGGGGGACCGAGCATCATTGTGGGGTAGATCGCGACGGGGTACGGCAGAGAATCTCGGCATCCCGTGCGAGCCCTTCCTCATAGTTGTGCTCGGTTAAGCGTTCGGCGCTATATAAAAAAATAAAGGGGGTGACTTCACTCCCCTCCTCGGAAGTTCCGCATACCGAAGATCTCGGAAGTGATCTCGCGGAAGTGGAAGAAGCGGCCGAGTATTCAGCAGGATGCCGAGATAAGGACCAGTGCGAGGGATCATCAAGAAGGGATATTAGGGACGGCGCAGGAAAACCGCATATACCGGATCGTGGACAACTGCGTATGTATTGATTGCGATTTCCGCGCGAAGTTAAACGCATCGATCATTCCTTCGGCAATTCGGTCGCCTTTGCTCCTTCGAAGGATATACGTGGGAAAAAAAATATCTGGAACAAAATGTAGAACCGTCCGTCGTGCTATTATGTAATTATCTAATTAATACGTCAAATGGTTTAGAAATTTTATTTAAAATGTGGTTTTTAAATTTAGTTCGGTAATCGCTCCGATTTCCTGATTGAATAAGAAAGACGGCATCTTTTCGTCATACGTTGCTGTCGTCGCGGGACATACAATGCGAGACGTTTTTTATTACGTCATCGTGGGTGCGCACAGGACACCATGAATTAAATAATAAAATAGGACAAGGTTGTGACGATGAGAACGCATTCGGTGAACGCTATGATTCCCGGAAGTGGCTCGTTATTCGTCGTCCGTCATCATCAAGACCCTTGTCTACTATATGTCATACCTTGTACGCGCACCTCGCGCTCGTGCGCGCGGCGACGACGATGACCGCCGGGTATTATCCATGCGAGAACGCAAATTTCATCTATTATTTATATTAGGGACTTATCGTCATCCTCTATACACACGCTCCACGAGCCTCCACTCTCTCGTAACACGTCCGGCCGCTCTTAAAGGGCTTCCTGTTTGTTAAGGTCGGCGCAACTAGGTAGGACGAGGTCGCGAGTTACAAAAACGTATTATAGACGACAATTATCAATCAGCCCTTCGCTCCTCCCTGTGTCTGTTTCTTTCCACTTCAACGGCCGTCCCGTTCCAGCGTTTCAATCGGAAAGAAGAGCGCAGGAGCTCACACAGTCGGCGAGCCGGTCTCCACTCGCGGTCGGCCTGCTACGATGAGGTGAGTTCTCCAATTTCGATCTCGTCCCGCGATTTCGTCGCCGCAACGAATAATGCCTTCAAGGGGATCGACCGGCCGTCCCAAGGTAGACAGATCCACCAGTCCTCCGCCGAGAAAACCGGCACCGAGCCCCGCCGTGCATCCGGTGCAGGAGCTGAAGGCCCTCTTCTCCGAGCCCGCCGCCAACAGAGCTCCCTCCAATGGCGAGAAAGAGTCGGATTTTCGATTCGAGGCGATACAATGCCTGCGACAATCCTCAAGAATGATCATCAAGAGGCCCAAGAACCTACCGGAAAGAGGGACCTGGAGCAGCAAGGTGAGATGTCATCGGCCAACGTGCACAATTGTGTCCGAACGGGATGTAACTTATAGACGCAATTTTCACATTTTTTTTTTCCTCTTTTAAAGGTCGAATTCATTTTGTCCGTCGTGGGACTGGCCATAGGTTTGGGAAATCTGTGGCGATTTCCGTACCTTTGTTATAAAAATGGCGGTGGTGCTTTTATGGTGCCCTACTTCATCGCGCTCGCGCTGGCCGGTATACCCATGTTCCTGATGGAACTGTCCTTAGGACAGATGCTGACGATAGGTGGTCTGGGTGTTTTTAAAATAGCACCGCTTTTCAAAGGTGATTTTAAAGATGCCACTCGGGCTCTTAGTCTCGCTGAAGTACTTGCGGGAACATGACTTCCGGTAACAATGTTGAACCTCATACAGGTGTTGGATACGCGACCTGCGTGCTCTCCTGCTGGACCAATGTGTATTACATCATCATCCTCGCTTGGGCGCTCTTCTACTTCCTGGTCTCTCTACGCGCCGGTGAGTGACTTCATTTCATACTTCATCGAACGCACACGGCGCTTCTGAGAGCAGCCTTTCCCACACAGCATGAAATATTTTTTGTGAATCACTTTTTGAAATATTTCGTAAACATTTGTAAAACATTTTAAATTATTACATCAAAATATTTCACAAAAATATTCTAGAAATATTGTACAAATATCGTAAGAAATATTTTTGTTGAAACATTTCAAGAAATATTTCGAAAACTCTGATTTCTTAGACATATTTATATTTCAGAAATATTTCATGAAATATTTTCAAATATTTCAGATCATGCACAAAATATTTTGGAAATATTTTTGAAATATTTTATGCTGTGTGGCTTATTCTTTGGTATTTATAGTAATTAGTCACAAATTGTTACATTTATCTAATACCTATATAAATTTTGCGCAGACGTACCCTGGAGAACCTGCGACAACTCATGGAACACGCGCTACTGCCTTACGGCCGAGGAACGTCTGAATGTAACGTGCTGGCAGGACGACTACTGGCCGAATAACGTCATATGTACCACGTCTTTCGGGAACTTGAGTCACGAGTTGCTGAAGGATCCAGTGAAGGAATTTTGGGAGTGAGTTACTGGCTCCGTAGATGCCTTAAAGTTAATTAATTACAGTTGAATTAAAAAAAATACCATCTTTCGTTGCAAAAAAGGAGGCGCACCCTACAAATATCCCCGGGCATCGAGGACGTGGGCGGTATAAGATGGGAACTGGCCGGCACCCTCGCGGTGGTGTGGATCATGTGCTACTTTTGCATCTGGAAAGGCGTCAAATGGACCGGCAAGGTAAAGCAGTATACTCGCGAAATCCTGGCCACCCTTTCGGACGTACGAATTACACGATGTAATACACACAGGTCGTCTACTTCACGGCGCTCTTCCCGTACGCCTTGCTGGCGGTGCTGCTAATACGAGGCTTGACGCTTCCCGGCGCCTCGGAAGGTTTGAAGTATTACGCTACGCCGAATCTCTCGAAACTCGGCGATCCCGAGGTAAAATCGAGTCGACACGACTTCGACTTTCTCCTTTAATTGTATTAGAATGTATTAGACATTTTGCAATCATTGGCACGATCATTGTGTGTACAGGTGTGGATAGACGCGGTGACACAGATATTCTTCACTTATGCTGTCGGGATAGGCGCATTGATAGCCCTAGGCAGTTACAACAAATTTAACAATAACGTTTACAAGTAAGAATCTTATACCTTCCGTGGCTCATTCTATCTTCATTATATTCTCCTCTTTCTCTCTTACCTCAAGAAGTTGTTTTTTTTTGCATGAGAAAAGGATTTACATGCGTTCTTATCGATGTATTGCAGAGATGCTCTCATCGTTTGCGGAGTGAATACTTGTACCAGCTTGCTTAGCGGAGTAGTCATATTTTCCGTGGTCGGTTTTATGGCCCACCAGCAACAGAAACCAGTGGCCGATGTAGCTGCTTCTGGTAGTTATTATTCACCTCTTCTTTTTGTCTATTTTGAATTTTTCGCATGTATATATAATAATAATTTCGTTATATTCGACAATTAAAATCGTTATATTTTGTCATTTCAGGACCCGGTTTGGCCTTCTTGGTTTATCCCCAGGCGGTGTTGCAGCTACCCGGGTCGTCAATTTGGGCGGGTCTATTCTTCTTTATGCTCCTCCTGATAGGCTTGGACAGTCAGGTAACGTACGTTCATCGAATCCAAGGTTCGACACCCGTTCATTCTATGAACTACCACGGATTAATGTTAATGTTAAAAACAAGTCGCATTCCAGTTCTGTACCATGGAGGGCTTCATCACAGCCGCCGTGGACGAGTGGCCGCGACAGCTCAGAAAACGGAAGGAAATGTTCATCGCGATCGTATGCTTGATCTCGTATCTAGTCGGGCTTCTGTGCGTCACGGAAGTGAGTGGATTATATTCATATGTACTTCTAAAATATTTACAAAAATATTTAGTAAGAGTATAACAATCCCACTTTTTTTAACTTTGTATTCTTCGACGAAAAGAAGAGTAATCGTTTAGATTTTTCTTGGCACTAAGAATTAATTTTATATCCAGGGTGGAATGTATGTGTTTCAACTCTTGGACACATATGCTGTAAGCGGATTTTGCTTACTCTTCCTGATGTTCTTCGAGTGCATCGCCGTCTCGTGGGCATTCGGGGTGAACCGATTTTATGATGGCATACGGGACATGATAGGCTACTATCCCTGCTTTTGGTGGAAGATATGCTGGACATTTACTACACCTGCCATTTGCGTGGTAAAACATTGTCCAATTTGTATGCAGATTATAGAATTAATATGCTACTTTTTATTTATTACGCTTTGTATCTCTTTCTTTACGTATATTAGGGCGTTTTCATCTTTAATATAATCAAATTCGTCCCTGTGAAATACCTCACGTACGAATTTCCGTGGTGGAGCCATTTGTTGGGATGGCTCGCGGGTCTTTCCTCGATGTTGTGCATTCCAGGATACATGATCTACATCTGGTGCGTTACATCCGGAACTACCTCAGAGGTATGTAATCATGTGTAGAAGGGAACAGATAGATAATAATACGTGATAGATAATAATAATAATAACGGTAATTCATGTCTTTTCAGAAATATCGGAAATTGATAAAAATAGAAGACGACATTGCTGCCTTACGGAAGAAACTCAATCCAATCAAGGCCGCTGCCATCGACGCGGAGTTTGAATTATAAAATCGCATTCATACCTTCTTCAATCACATATAGATTATGCGACGTACGCGATAAAGTATAGGAACGTTAATGGGAAAGATTTGTGCGCGCAATGGAATGTTTGCGATTTCAGAAATACATTCAGATTTCACTAGAATAGCATCACGATGAGGTATCATGCGTTTTACTCACTTCGAGCGCACTCTCGTCGAGAAAAAAAAGCGACGTTTATTGATTAAACTAATCTATTATATATCTCTTATAATCTGCTTCCAACATACATATGAAGAGAAAGCGAAAATAATAAAAGTATACTTTACAATTCGTTCGAATATGTTTTGATTTGTATTCCACTCGTGTCACAATTATACACCCTATACGCATTAACAAGATGCTAAAATTCTGTTCGAGACAGCTTTTAGCTTAACTGATATAAAAATCAAATATTCTATTCTTTTTACAAATGCTAAAATATTTAAATATTTCGGCTATGTCCGATCGACATCTCGATTATATTCCTGCATCGTTTTACGTTGTAATAAATTATACTTAGAATAATTCCTGTGGTCCTGCTCGCGTCGTGCACAGTTGTCAGTAAAGGATTTTTTCTTCTTCATTACAATCACGCAGCGACTACGTTGCAATTTCAGCTCTACGAATCTTTATTCTGCATCTGTTTAATGCGTATGAGAAGCTGCTCCTTCCACTGCTCCTCCGAGATCGCATTCGCCCATTGCGGAATGGAAGTTTCGGGGATAGTGATGGACGCCATCACGGATTTCACTTCTTTGATCTTCGTTGCATCCAAATCAATGTCGGAACGGTTGTGCGGACACGACCAGACTTCCATTATTTCTGAAGAACAGCTCTGAAATATTACAGTGTATGCTTTAATCGCAAATTAATTCATTTTATGATTCATTTGAATTTATTATTATTAGTATGATCGTCACATATATTATTATACATTTAAGGTAAGTCAGAACATAAATACTCGTATCTATCTTACAATTAATCAAAAATGTTAGATTTATCTTTGTCTATAGATTTGTAATGGATTTTCTGCTTGCTCACAAAGAAGCTCTTTGATTATTTCGAATGTTATCCGAGTATTCGTAAATAGTATAACTAGTGAAGCAAAATCCTTGTGTTCATTTTCATATTATCTTAATTTAAAGAAAGCTCACTTGCTGAGTTTCAGTTGTCGGAACAGACGACGCCTGATTAGATTCGCCAAATCCAGACAGCCATTCGTCATTCTGGAATAAAAAAAGATATGTTTAATACCAGAAATTCTTTGCATTAAAGAATATATAAGAATATATATAAAGATATTGCTGTTTTGTCTGATAAAGTACCTCTTCCTCGCCTAATATGGGATCGGCATCGGTAGACACTTGGGATAGTGGCAGATATCCCGCCATACCCATATCCTCGTCCTCGCTGTCTTCCTCATCATTCGCCGCTCTTGCATCCAGGATTACGTTGGAAATTGTCAGATTATCCTGAATGGGTTCTTGCGTGGGCTCGGGCGACATGATGCGTTGTTAGATTCAGTTAACTCTTTAATTAAAAATTGAAACAAATATAAACATTGGACAATGTCACTTTAATATGTTTGTCATCAGCGTGTCAAATATGCAACTCGATTCTTATCAATAAATTGATGTCAATAGTAATAATTTCATCATATGTCGTAAAGACACAAATATATCTACTCCAGTTACTCCACTATTATCATGTAATTTAGAGGAAAAAATCGTAAAAACTAAAAACAACAAATAAATAATTCTGACAATATAGCGAGTAAATTGTCAAATAATTTGAGACGTGGGAAATCTAATGGAAGTGTAATGATATTCCAACGAATGTGTTAAGGTAAACGTATCAGTGACTGAACGTGTATCTATAATATATAGCTGAACAAGTACATAACAAGCACAAAAATTTATTTTTAAATGATTTTTTTCATAATATTATAATTTAATTGTAAATAATTTTACAATTAAATTTTGATATTATAATAAAAAAAGCATTTGAGATTAATAAATTTTGTGTACGCGTTTAGATATAGATACATGTTCGGTCACTGGTACGTTTATCTTAATTCTTAAATTTAACGAGAACGGCGAACACATTACAACAAATAAAAACAGTGTATCGATAAATCGCGACTAATTCAACGTTGAATTTTCTTTTTATTTATATACATACCATTTTTCACAGCGTTGTACGTGCAAGCGAACTTAGGAGTGACCACGTAGCGTCGATTTTGACAGCTGTTGACAGCTCACCGTCGATCGTCCTTATCCTTATCGGTCCTCGTAAACGCGATATGTATCTTCTACGCGCCTAACGCGCCTATATGCGTACGCCATTTTGAGAAAACTGCGTACGTACGGGGCACGATCTGTCGAGACACGTCCGAAGGTTGCAGCAAAGCTGTTTGAAACGCAGTCGGTATCGTAGAGCGCGTACTTATGTAAATTTATTACATGAACAAAATTTCTTGATAGACTTGAAGAGTTCCTTATTTAAAAAAGATGAGAAAAAGAACTGTTTAAAAAAAAAATGCTGAAACTAATTAATAACCTTCACATCAGATTAATAACAAAAAATCAAACAGATAAACAACAAAACTGCAAGGTGTACGGCGATCTATAATTATTATAAGCAATTTCTGTCTATAGAAACAATATTCTAGATTAATCTAGATAATAATGTATGTATTTCAAATATATATACAGGGTATCAATGGTAAAGCGCTCGTGGGCAGGTAGAGTGGACCAAACGGAACAAAAAAGTCCTCTACTATTTTGTGATCTTCGCAATAATTTTCGAAATATTAATATATGTATAAAGCTTCGTCGAATCTGAACGCGCGGCGAGATACGCCCGCCGCGGACTACGGTTGCCTCCCTCGCGCGCCTAGCCCGTTTTGTAATACTTTTTTTTAAACATTAATCCATTTTTCGATCACTTTTTACGATTTTTTTTTACAAAGTTATAATTATAACTTTGTTGTAACTTTTGTGTAAAAAAGTGATCGAAAAATGGATTTGTTAGAAATCAATAAGCTTGAAAACTCATAAATTTTTATGCCAGGCAGCCGACTTCTCTAACCAGCAAAATTTTTGTCTTTCTTTCTAAGCCTTCAACTAAAGCCCTCACGTCCACCACTTTATATATAAAGCATTTTTGGAATTAAATTTTAGTTTTCTTAGTTATCAAAGGAAATGTTCAAGCTTTAATTTGAGCTTAGGTTTATCTCAATACAATGACTTTTCATAAAGTTACTGCTATTGAAAGATATTAAAAATTTGAGTTAAAATTTAGATGTCCGGTTTTTTTGCGAGTGAGTATATACAACATGATATATATTATATATGATAAATATAACAGTTATTATACATGATAAATTAATGAATAAACAATTTATATTAATATATTATAAAAACAAAATTTTTTATATATTGAGCGCGATACATCGGATGTTTCAAAAGCGCTAAAATAAATTTCTCTCTTCCTTTATTTCTTCTTTGTCTTCATTTCTATCTGCATTAATGAACGGAACTCTACTTCATTAGCAAACAAAGCTCACATATTTTTCTTTATTATAGTATACCTCGTAGCCGTTAAAGTCTATATGTTACTATGTGGGAAATTGTTAAAAATTAAGACGACGGTAATGGAGTAAGCTAAACAGCTTCGTAAGCAAGAAAATTTGAAGGAAATGTATTTAGCAATTTTAAAATCGACTCTCATTAATTTATTCTTACTTATTATGGTTTACTCTTATTTATTTATTATTTACTTCACTTTATTACTTCAGCCGTTTACTTTATCTATTTATTTAAAGAATTGACTCCTTATTATTTTTCTTTCCTTAAGTTTAAGAACGTAAAATTGCACCGATAAGTCATTAAAACGGAGAAACATTTAGCTGATGAATATTGCCATCCACGCGCGACAGCCATTCGCCTTTCTTTACATTTGCAAAAGAGAAAATAGATCTGCGGAATTGGGAAGATATACAGGGTGTTCCTAGATCACTGATGAGATTTCCTCCTGCAGAACAGTAAGTTATGTAACGCTGTAATGGTAAATGAATGACATAACGGAGGCGTAATGTTAATAATGTGTGTGGCCATATGCCACAAGAGAGGCAATCGATAGCTATGACCTTCTCCCATCATGCGGGCTCGATCGCGAAAACGTTTGATTCGAATTGCGAGCAATCGCGGCGGATTCGCGCAAATAAAATTTAAATCGTTAAACGGTGAGTCACGAAAAACAATAAGCACTTCTGTCTTAATTATCTTTCCTGTTAAATACTTAGCATTGAATCTATCGCAGTTCCGGCCTTGACTTCGATTGACATAAAAAATGAATTATTGCGGAAGCGAGATACAATTAAATTAAAGCGATATCGCGTAGACTCAGAAAAAGGATTGTAATTACGATATCGATTGCCTCACAGCGATCTTACCTGTAAACAACTTCGCCTATCGAGTCGAAATACTGTTATACTGCACTGAATATTCGCTTCGATAAATATATTTAATTATTTCGGCGTCACTTAAATTATTTTCTCGGCTCGCAACACTTATTCGTAAAATATAAATTTTCCACTTTTTCTCGCGACAAGCCGCGAACTGAAGGAGTTAACTGAAATCAATGATGACACAGCGTTTCGTTCAATTTATGCGAAACTAGAGCACGCATTGAGATCGGAGGTGTATCTCCTGTTGCACCGAGCGCGAGCTGCAGTTTAACTGTTTAATAGTTAATTGCGCACTATTCGGCGCAACAGACAATAGTTTGCGCTAATAATCGTGCATGATATTACGCAATGATATGCAAAACGGGTCCAGTGTCAGCTGGTTGTATAAGCAAAACGGGCCCGGTTTAAACGATTTCATGTTCATTTATTCGTCTTAACAAGCTTCGCTTGAATTACAACTGGTTTGCAGGGATACCGAGTTGTAATGTGCACATGTTATGCGCTCGACCGTGCAAACATTTGCAGTTCTCCATAAGAAAATGAACACGAATGTCTTTATTAGCTCAACGTCGAGTTTTGAAATGACTGGAAAAATTCAGCATTATCAATTCGCTGTGTTCAAATATCTCGGTAGCTTTTTATAATCTATTTTTATTTTTTATAAGAATAACTTATTACTAATTATAATTTTATATTTTCGTCATCTATTCGTTCATGTAAATTTCTATTAAATAAAGGAATTCTTTTTAATCATTTAATTAAATTTTTTTATCTTGTTCATTTTTTACTCGCAGTTGTTGCTTGCAAGTAATTTTTAAACGAGTTAACTCTTAATTTTTTAACAGAGGAAAAAGATCATACAACATAAAAGAGTCTAAAAGAAATAAGATTAACTGTATTCTAATTTCCCGTTTAAAAATTACCTGCTAGCAGCAATCGCGAGTGAAGAATGAATAAAAAAATTTAGTACTATTTTTCTTTTTCTTTGGTATTCTTTTATAATAATCTTTGTTTTCTGTTTAAAAACTAAGAGTTAACTCGTTTGAAATCGTCTGCATGCAATAATCACGAGTAATCACGAAGAATAAACAAAGTAAAAAAATTTAATTAAATAATGTGGCAAATAAACTTTTATTAAACGAGTAATTTTTTAATTACACTTGTTTGTATTTAATACCTGTATATTTTATTTTTACAGAATTCGCATAGTAAATGGATTCACCCATCGATGGATTTGATGTACGCAAGTGAAAAACGATGTATGTATTCGAGCAACGACGTTGGTTTATTATTAGCAGCGCGGATCAACATAAGTACAATAAAATTTTTATTGTCGCAAAAATATAAAACGTTTCAAGTTTTGTTTCTATTTTATTTTAATGCCTATCACATAACGCTATCATTTTGTAATCATTATATATGAATGCATAAGTCTATGGTTCCTTAATTGCTAACATTAACAATTACAAGAATAATAACAAGAATACAAATATTAAATGACAGTTTCTATACTTAAAACTGATCTCGAGATTACATATATTTCATTTATATGTATATCACACACTAAATGATTAACATTTTGTATCTCTTTGCTTTGCGCACGTAGCAATAATTTCATGTGAAAACGCGAGCGAATTAATTTCAATTAAGTACAATTATTATGAATTATCAATTATTACATAAAACTCAGCGGGTTTACATTTTGCATTTCGCGTCCCAATCGTTCGGAATCACTTCGTGCCACACTTGCTTCAGGTTTTGCAATAGGCAAGGACTGGCGCAGTTAGGAATTTCTAAACGATGCGCGTTCTCCAATTTCGTATTGTTGTATTGTAATACAGGGCCTTTGATAACAAAGAGATAAGAGAAGAGAATAAGAAAAGAGAGAGAGAGAGAGAGAGAGGTAATTATAGTAATTATTATATTATTATAATTATAATATAAATATCATATTAGAATAATAATAAGAGATATAAGAAAAACGTTTAGATAATACACGCGTATATACATATTAGTATTATATACGGATTATATATTATACGGCAAATATACGAATTATTTTAGGAATTCCGAATGACCCTCAACAATTACGCATAATTGCTAATTGGCTACCATTAATTAAATTAATCACTTCTCACTTCCGGTAATTACACATTATAATACCCATTATAATTTGTAGTAACGACAATGTAATAAAGTGCTTAGGTAGAATTTGAAGCGTCGTAACGTTTACGCGAAAGAATTTCTGATTATAAAAATATTCATACGGCAGTATCGCAAACGAGATAATGATGCTACGATATAAACATATCTTCACTTCTTGGTCAGCTCCATTACTGGCGTGATATGTAGCTCCAATATGAGCGTCGCCCCGTAATCGGGCTTAAAAAGTTCACTCGTAAATCCCATTGTCTTCATCACGTTGACAATAGTTATGTCGTGAGCGGAATAAAAATAGAATTGTTTCAGCTTGGGACCGGTCTTACTCTCTTCCTGTGGCCTAAAATCTCTTTCAACAACGGGCCTGAAAAACATCGGTACAGTTTACAATACAAGATCTCGCGATGCAATTTAAAGGGTACATTTAGCGATATTTTTCGTCGCTTCGGTTGTCGTTTCGTTATTGAATCGCTCCTCTGCCAATCTCGTGGCTGAGTCGCCGGTTGCCGAGATCGTCACCGATTGCGCTCGTAATTACGCGTAGTTCGTGCATTATTGTAGTGTTCGAGCGTAAATGTTGGGCGAACATAATTAATTAAAACCACGTAGAGAATCGTGCAAAAGAGTGGCACGCTTCTCGTGCCTCACTGCAAATCCAAATTTGTAATAATAAATACACACTTATATGTGTAAAATTACACATTTATGTGTGTGATTTAGTTTTCCGTGTAAAAATAACACATTATAGTGCATAAAAAATTAATTTACACATTTAAACATGTAATTTAACACATTTTTCTGTGTATAATATGACATATAGTATTAAATGTGGAAACGTATGTGTATTTCCAAATAAATCAAATGTGTAAAAAGTACATGTAATAATAAAATAACTTTACACATTTAGCTCTTTTTACACATAAGTTTCACGCGTAATAATGAGAATATGTGTATTAGATTGAAGAGAAAATTAGCGGTTTTTGATAAAAGGTTGGGCAAAAATACGGATTTTGTCCTTAAACTTATATCTTATTTATAATATTCTATAATGTAATTATAAGACACCGAATAAATACTAATACTTTTAAATACTACTAAAACTTTTAAATACTAATTACATAAATTTAAGTTTACAATATAATAAGTTTATTTTATTATATATAAATTTTTACATTTAAATTTATTATTATACACGTACTCCTTCCCAAAATTAAAGGATCATCTATTTTGATCGCTAAAAATAGGTAAATTTCAAAAAAGTGTAACTTCGTCAAAAATGATCGTAACAGATTGATCCAAAAAGCATTTTATATAGCTTGAAGTCTTTACTTTCAAAATCCTTAATTCATTAAATGACTTACTGATTCTTTACAAAGCTGCATGAATGCAAATGGAGATGCATCAAATCTAAAAATTTTGTACTAAGTTTGCGAAGTTCTATGGAGTGCAATAAAAATCGCATATAAATGCGACTTGCAGCGTTCGAAAGGATGAATCTTTATCTTAAATTTGCGCGCTCGATCAGCATTGTGCGATTTTTTTTCACTCATTTTATTGCAGCTGTCGTACCAACTCGGCGATGATATATATATATATATATATGTATTATTGAAAAACCTTTCGCATACTTATTTTTATTACAGCCCAGTAAACGAAAATGAATTAAAATAGATTGAAAAAAAAATTCATTTCAACGTTCGCAGATTCGTACCTATTTTTGAAAATCTGAATCGATTTCATTGTCCAATGCTTTTGTATTTATTTATAAGAATTGCATGAAGCGCATTCCCTATTGCCATTCAATAAAAAATTTTAGCTTTAAATGCTTTAAAAAGTAAATTGTGAATACTGGTTAATTCAAAATTCTAGATAGGAAATGCAGTTTTTTCAATCAAATTAAATTCCAAAAAAGTTTTTCCGTGAAAATGGATTATGAATATTAATTAATTAAAAATTGTAATTGAAATCGAAATTAATTAAAAAATGCATTGTTTCAATTTATCTACATCCAAAAAAATTATTATATTATATCAATATTATATTATATTCGCATCATAAAAAAATAGAAATGCATTTATTTCCACGAAGGCCAAATCCATTTCAATTCATAAATTAAAAAATTTTAATTCTTTCCCGTTTACTTGAAATTTTTTTTCAAGTCAATTGATTTCCTTGCAAAGCCGGATCGTCCTGTACGTTCATCTGCTCCAATTTTGTTTTGCAATTTTATTTTATTAATTCTTCATAATTCATTACTTTCATGTAGAAATGCACGATGGACGAAAATTGCTTGTGCAGATGATTCTAAAAAAAAAAAAAAAAAAAGAAAGCGCGGTAGCGAACCGTGTCAATGAATTAAAACAGCGGCGGCATTAGGCGCTCTTATCGTACTGCTGGTGGAGGAGCAAAAAGAAAGCGCGCGGGATGAATGACGGGCCCGACCGACGTTAAGCCAAGTTAAAGTAGTAATCCGGTGCATCTCGTAGAGACGACTGGTATGTCGCGCAGCGTTCCGTTCCGACGAGACATGTCACAGGTCGAGCTTCTCGTCGTTACGACCGTCCTCCTCGCCTGGTCAGGTAATCACTGTTAATCAGACCGGTCCGACGATCTCTCGCTTGACCGATACGCAAATCGTTCTCTTTCTCTCCTTCCCACTCTATTTCTCGCGAATTTTTCGTCGCAATGCGAATTACAATTGATATCTCAACCAATTGATTATTCCTCCGGTTGTTAATTCCAGCGTACGCGTATCCGGATGGCACGCTGCTGAACGACAACGCGCGAGCGGCGATCGTCGAGACGGTGCTGGAGCGCGAACCGGCGACCTTCAAATTGTACACCAGGTGCGTATTATACACGATTTCGTTGCTGCGACAACGATATTTGCGACGAGATATATAAAATTGAAATGTAATATATTGCTTTTGCATCTCAGTGCGATACGTGAGATAACAACGCGGCTGTATATGTGCGTGAAAAGTCCAGTCAATCAGAATAGGAAACGAAAGAGAAAATTGTTCCGTACTTTCCGGGGGTTGTAGAGACGACGTTCCCCCGGACGAGCATTCACCCTAACGGACCCGCGCACCGAACGAGCTCTCGATCGAAACTAAATTCACGCATCATACTGCGGATTTTCTGTCCACGCTCAGTTTTTTCTCATGTCGAGACGTGGCGTTCCCGCGCGGCCGCTTGGATCACGTACATTCCCCAAATAATTATTTTATATAACCGCAAATCGGCGAATCGGGAGAGTATCTTGACGCCGATCGGGAATCAGCAGTCACACGCCGACGCGGCTAATTTCCATGCACCATGGCACCGTTATCGCCGGGCCTGCCCCGTGGAGGATGCATCAATTTTTTAATGATACGTGCAATCAGCGGGCATTCTATTCTCAGCGCTGACGTTCGATCGACTATCGAGTGTCGAGGCGCCGCGCCGCGTTGACGCCTTAATATCATCCGCCTTCAGATTGACTCCCGCCTTCCCCTCCTTTTTTTTCTCTCTTTTTGCGCCTCTCTCTCTCTCTTTCTCTCTTTCCGGCAAACAAGCCGGATCGGAGGAAGAGCGAGAGGAAGGCGCGCTTCTTCTTGACTTCTCTCCCTTTGTCACGTGCACGTCGGGGAAATCTTGGGAAAATCTTGTACGTGAGCGCGGGCGATGAGGACTTAGTAAACGAGAATGGATTGAAAAAAATTCATTTCAACATTCGCAAATGCGTACTTCTGAAAATCTGAATCTATTTCAATGCCCAATGCCTTTGTATTTATTTATAGGAATTGCATGAAGCATATTTTCTATTCAATCCAAAAAAAGTTCAGTTTTAAAAAGTAAACCGTGAATACTGGTTATAATTCAAAATTCTAGATAAGAAATGCAGTTTTTTTTCAATCAAATTAAATTAAAAAAAGAAAGTATGGTTTATAATGAAATATAGTAGTTTCGTTATTTTTCGTGAAAATGAATCATGAACGTTATTCAGTTAAAAACTGTGACTAGGAAATGCATTTCAATCCACCTAATCCAAAAAATATTATATTGTATTCGTATCATGAAACAGAAATGCATTCATTTCCACGGAGGCCAATCTATTTCAATCCATGAATTAAAAAATTTTAATCCATTTTAATCCTTTCCCGTTTACTGGGGAATCTTCGTTCGGACTGGAACTTTAACGTTTATCGCGTTTATTCGAGATTCATCATTAACTTCGTCGCAATGCAAATATCTCTCTTATGGTGTTGCTTCGCGCGCAGGGAAAACCCGTTCGGCGAGGAGCAATTGTTCCTGAACAATACCGAGGTGCTGTACGCGTCGCACTTCAACGAGAGCCGGCCGACCAAGTTCATCGTTCACGGATTCAGCGATACCGGTAACGAGGGCTGGATACGTGATTTGATAGACGGTGGGTGGAATTGACGCGATTGCGTCAACTGATGTGTAATCCGCGCGCGCATTCCTTTTAACTACCGCCGCGCTACTACTTTCGCAAACAATCAGGGTCAGCCTATTTCGGTAAACACGGAATCGACGTCGTTGTCGGTTCAAGGGGTCAGCGAGCGATAGCGGCTTAATTAATCGTTCTGCAAAGTTTTTACTCGCTCTCTCGCCGCCAGAAACTCTTCTTCGCGGAAGAAGAGTTTCGAGCGCTGCGGGCTTTTTATATAACGCGGCGCGACTTTTTGATCCGCGGCGCGATCCCCGCGTGTCTTCTCGCCTCTCCTCCAAAAAAGCGCGCTTGTTTCCAAGTAAGAAAAAAAGCATCTCTCTTTTTTTTTTTAAAGATAGAGATATAAAATTTAATTGCACTTTTAGCGTATCTGCTTTATCAGGATGTGAACGTGATAGTCGTCGGCTGGGGAATCTTGGCGTCCGACGCCTACCCGGTGGCGGCTAAGAACACGCGTCTCGTCGGTGAGTATTTAGGCCAGTTCTTGGACTTCTTGAGTCGGGACTCGAACCTGGAGTACAAGGACGTGCACATCAGCGGTCACAGCTTGGGCTCGTACGTGGCGGGCTTCGCCGGAGCTTATCACGACGGGCGTGTCGGGAGAATAACAGGTAGATCAGTGGGTTCCCCATCTCAAGCAGAACAGCAAGTCACGCTATCGTCAAAATGACATTAAAATGAATCATAATTGATCAAAAAGTGATTCTTAATATAATTCATTTGTATAATAATTCAATAATCATTTTGTCGTCATTTTGATAAGATGACTTGTCAAGCTGACTTGTTGTTCTGCTTGGGATGTGTTTTCATAGAGCCATCGTAAACGCGCTCAAGTTCGAGGATATAAAAAAAAAGTATCGTAACTCTCCAGCGGAATTATTTATATAGTCATCTTTTTCCTCCACAAGATTCCTGATATGGTAGAGAAAGATATTAAAGATTCTTGATATGATAAAAAAAGATATTAAACATTAAATAAATAATGTGAAATTAGGCAAATTAGTAAACGGAAATGGATTAAAATTTTTTATTGATTGAAATGGATTGGCTTTCGTGGAAATGAAATGAATTTCTACTTCATAATACGAATATATAGAATATAATATTTTTTATGTAAGATTAATATAAAATAATATTTTTTTATATTTAGATGGATTGAAACGCAATGCTTTTCCTAGTCACAAAACATTTTTTCTGAATTTAATTAGATTGAAGAAATGTATTGAAGAAATATATTTTTTATTTTAAATTAATCAATTATTCATGCTTTCTTATTTTTAAGAATAAACTTATTTTTGGATTGAATAGAAAATGTGTTTCATGCAATTCCTATAAATGAATACAAAGGCATTGGGTATTGAAATGGATTCGGATTTTCAGAAGTACGCACTCGCGAACATTGAAATGAATCTTTTTCAATCTATTTTAATTCATTCTCGTTTACTGGGGAGTTGCAATGTATACGTTTGGAACATATTACACTGATAAGACAGCACTGGAAAGTGGCTATAAATGTACAATGCTGCAGTTATGATACTTGCTATCGGTGTATCGACGAATTGATGAGCGAAAATACTGGCTATACGCGAGCGTAACCCGATGATTTTTCCGGAAAGGACTGGATCCTGCGAGTCCACTGTTCGAGACAATCTCCGGCATCGTCGACCCGGAATACCGGCTGGATCCGACCGACGCTCAATTCGTCGACGTGATCCATACCAGCGGTCCGGCGTTCGGATTCTTGGCGCCGCTGGGACACGCCGATTTTTATCCTAACGACGGCAAGATCCCGCAACCCGGATGCTCTTACGTGCCGACGATAAGTGAGTAATATCACGAGGTGTTCGTTATCCTTGCATTCTTGTTGTGGTAACTTATGGTTAATATTAAAAAGGTGCTACTGCAAATCCAAGTGTGTAAATCTGTAGTCACTTTTTACGCATTTATACGCGTGTTATATTTTTACACATTTTATCTGTTTTTTACACTGCAGTTAAATGCATATTTTTTACACGCTAAATTTTACATCAATAATATACGTAAGCGTATGTAAAAAATATGCATTTAACTGCAGTGTAAAACACAGATAAAATGTGTAAAAATATAGCACGCGTATATAAATGCGTAAAAAGTGACTACAGATTTACACGCTTGGATTTGCAGTGTGACTTCCGAGCGATATCTTAATTGCCTCTCGGCGCGCGTTACAGCTTACTGCAGTCATTCGAGGGCGCATCAGCTTATGACCGAGAGCATCGGCAGCACGGTGGGCTTCAAGGCGAGAATGTGCGACAGCTGGGAAAAGTACAAGGGGCGGCTCTGCGATTACAATCCGGTCGTTTTGATGGGCGAATACGCTTCCACCTCGTAAGATAACGCCTTATTTCATATATTTCGTTAAACTCGCGAGAACCGCGATTGCCAATTCATCACGATGTTTTCCTCTCGTCCTCCAGGTTGCGTGGCAAATTTTATCTGACGACCAACAACGCTCCTCCCTTCGCACTGCAGTAAACGTTCGGAGTGCCGATCCTTTGGCGGAGATTTCTCGACTTGAGTACTTGCGAACTCACGATTACGAGTGGCGATCGCGCAGTAATCTGTACTAGTCATTGATAAGTTACTTTATTTATGAAGCCCCTCGATTCTGAGTGCGTACACCGGAACGTACATCGTGTCAGAATGTATCCTTAATATACGTAATGCTATACATATTAGAAAGAGTACAAATTACATTAATTGAAACTACGATGTTAAATGAATAATATTCCTTTCGCAATAATCGTCACATTTCCCATCTCGCCAAATTTCCTGTGATCTTTTCACTGAAATTCCTGAATTTCTTCCGTTTATTATTCTCGGTTTCTCAGAAATGCGAAGGTCCCGAAATGACATTGTCAAACAGCGTCAGAAAAGTACAGAGAAATGAATAATAAATGGAGACTCCATACAAGCTGGTAGATGAATATGTAAATCGGTCGAAGGAATTAATATTTCAAATCGTGAAAATGCATGAAACGAATACATTCATAAGGGACTTGCGCTTTGCGGCGGACGCGGCCTTTAGGAATGTGACCGCTTTATTATCCGTCAAACTCCTGAAATAATCTCTGCGTAATTCGTATAATTTACGAAATGCCTCGTGGAAGTTGGAAGTTACTGTTTCTGTCGCGTCTACTGGTCGTTTCTTACGCAAACGACAATCTCATGGCCCGAGATTATTTTGTGTATAAGGACGTGTCCAACGTCGTGGGGTTTTCCTGCGGCGGTCTCGAAAGTGCGTATAGCGATATCTCTTATGGCATGATTGAAATGACTCGTGGTAATAATTATTACAAGTTTCTCTCGACTCGTGACAGGCGACGTGAAATTCGCGAGGACGTTCAACGAAGTCTTCGTACTCACGTCGATATGCAGCCTCGGATCCGTGAACGGATCGTCGATACGTAGCCTTAGGAGGCTTTTGCAGAACAACTATCGCAATTTAGGCGTTTACGTGGACGCGCGATGCGGCGGTCACAATTACACCCTAATATATTCCGAGGTAAAAGATGCTCTTCCAAAAACATTCTTAATTCTTAAAAATTTAATGAAAGTAGGCCAAACTAACGAGCAACTAAACGAAGGTAGCGGCATTTATTAATCTTATATAGTACAAAAATAAATTTAAGATAGACAGACGTGGTGTCCATCTTAAATTTATTTTTGTACTATAAGATTAATAAATGCCGTTACCTTCGTTTAATTGCTCGTTAGTTTGGCCTAATTTCATTAAATTTTGATTGTTATTACATTGACGAGCTAATCTTTATATTGCTAGTTTTTTAATTCTTTATTGTGTCACGTATATTAATTGCGTAAAGTATCTAGATCTGGAATTAAGAATGTGCAATATACACAATATAATGTAAAAATAAAGAAGTAATGTATGTGAAAATGCAACCAGAGGAGGGGGCGAAACAGGCAAGGGTCAAGAAAGATAAAGCCGTAGACGTTGAAGCAGCATATTCTTGCAGTGGCAAAGTTCTTGGTATTAATCTCTCTCTCTCTCTTTTTTTTAATTTAAGGCTACGAAATCTTTCTTGTTCGACGAGACGCACAAATGGCTGATTTTGGGACGAAAGCTGGCCGACACCGTGAGCTTATTGAACGACGATTCCTTCGGTGTGGTGACCGACATTACAATTGCCATCGAGACCGTCACCGGTTTCGATTTGTACGACGTGTATAATCCTTGCAAAGCGCGCGGCGGCTCCTTGAACGTAACCGCCCTGGGTTACTGGACCGAGAAATCTGGCATGGCGATCAGACTGAAGCAGTCGAAGTACGAGAGAAGATCCAATTTGCACGGCATGAAGCTCAAAGTCGGAGTCTTAGTAAGTATAATCGATTAGCTCCATCGATTTGCCGGCGAGTAACGGCAATTGGCGATGCAATTTATTAATCGGAAATCTCGTATAGCTGCCGCGTAAGTTCTACAACTTGTCCACGGAGGATATCGTGCTGGACCAAGATATGAAAGCGAAATACGGTCGCTCCCAATTCCTGTATATGATCTTGCTGCACATGGCTGATCTCTTTAACTTTACGTAAGAAACGGGCGAACATTTCTTTTAATTATACTTTCGCAACTCTTTCGCGTATCTCTCCCTTTTTTTTAAGTATGAAAATATCTTTCGAACTATTTTAATTGAAGTATAGAAATCGTGGAGGTGGACCCGAGAAAGCGGCAGGACATGTCCGCGCCGATGTTCGTCGCTTTTCAGAAAAAGACGGTGGACATCTCGGCCAGTCCAATCGTGATGAAAGCGGAGAGATTACGATCCGGAGATATTATCGGTCCAATATGGCCGATGCGGTGCGTAATTTCGTGATACATGCGATAACGAATTTGTCTTACCTTATTGAGACGGTGCAATTGCATAGAACAAATCGTTTTTCCACGCAGATCGTGCTTTCTATTTCGGACAATATCCTCGGCGAATTTCAAAACGAAGCAGTTTTTGCGACCGTTAAACATTAAGGTCTGGTACGTTGTACTCTGCACGATGGTAGTCGCCGCGTCCATTCTGATAATATTGATCAGGCAGGAAGGCGTTTACAGTTTGCCGGAGGCCTGCAGCATTTGTATTCTTCTTACGATAGGCGCCGTTTCCCAGCAAGGTACACCCAAAAAAAAAATGACTTACAATTGTTAGTAATAGTAGCTAAATTTCAATAGTTGAATCAAACTTAGCTATAAGAGCTACCGCTTTAGTATCATTTGCTATAAGTTCTGGCTATTACAGATAAAAAACATTCACTGTGATAAAAAAATTTATTAACTGAAATTAAAAGCATATATATTAGTACAAGCAACTAAAAAGATGGCATGCGTACCTAAATGTCTTATCATGCACTTTTGGGACACAGAGCTAAGTTTATAGCTACGCGCAAAAATTTGATGTGTAATTGTTTTGGCAATGTGGCACTGCCATATGCATATCTATACAGCGCATTTAGCGTTCATATTTTGCAATATATAAGTTGTATACCGCAAATAATATTACTTTATTGCGAAGATAAAATAACAGTAGATTCGGCTAAATATCATTTGATTTTAGCAGCAAATATTTTTTGCTGTAGCATCTACATTTTAATAACTAATAAATTGAACTTCGGCAGCAACGACATTAGCTGTTCCTATTTCAACGACACATCTTAGCTGCCATAGCTATATTTTAGCTTTATTGGCTAATCCTTTTTCTGCGTGTATAAATACTTGTCAGGCTCTGTGGCACGTTATTTACGATGTCTTCGTTAATTCTCTGTCAAGTATCGAACCGAATAACGCAAAAGGAAACGAAGAGCTGTCGATAGATCAAGCACTTTCGCAGGTTCCGTGTTCGTTCCGGTGCATTACGCGGGTCGCATAGCATTCATACACATCATGCTATTCAGCGTGTTGATCCTGAATTACTATTCGGCGAGCATCGTGTCTGATCGATTAAAGAACGTAGGCGTGAAGATGAACGACTCGTTGATCAGCCTGGCGGACAGTTACTTGAAAGTGGCGGCCGAACCAACGCCGTACATTCGTTCTTTTTTGCAGGTATAGACGTTTTTATATAGGACAGCCCAATTACCATGATCCAATTAAATGAGATCCATTTTATAAAGGATCGAGGAGCTGCAATAATCATAATAAATAATCGTATACCATTTTATTCAATATGCAACCCTTTTTTTCATTACATCGGCGCATCTGGCATCCCCGTTCTTGTACTAAAAGGCACCGGAGAAGGAGATACGGTATTTTAACGCGAAACGGTGGGACAAGCTGCCGGAGTCAAAGCGTTATCTACCACTGACGGAGGGCCTGAATCGCGTGGCTACCGGCGGCCTGGCCTATCACACGTCAATCGAGAGCGCGTATCCGTATATTGAGCGGCACTTTCATCCGCGGATGATATGCGAGCTGACGGAGGTCCATCTCTTTCGCGCGGTCCTCGCCCTTTGGGGCAGGCACAGAAGCCCGTTCACCCCGCTGTTGAGAATCGGGTAGGGAAATACGCGAATCCCAAGCAGAACAAGTTATCTTGACATCAAAATGACACGTTAAAATGATTATTAAAAATCAAACAATATTAATGAACTCTCGAAATTGTCAATTAATTAGGAACAAAAGGCTAATGAGAGCTTTCGGCGTGGTAAGTAAGGCGCATATAGTCTTGAATCTTGAAATCTTGTATTAAAGATCTTTATTTCATACTTATTGTTTATACTCCATGGATGTTTTAATTCATTTTGAATCATCTTCTGCAATATTAATAATTAGCCTTCCCGGGAAAAAATTTTTTATATAAGAACATATATAAATATATATAAACATATATAAAAATATATAATTATATATAATTATACATAATTAAATGCGAAATATGTCCATACATATCCATATATTGTTTCTTTGACTTGTAAAATTATTGTTTGATACAAGAAAAATGATAATAATAAAAAGAAAAACTTAAAAAATAATTAAAAAAATAATTTTTGTATTGTTCTTTTTTACAAAAAATCAAGTCTTAAGAAATGAGAAAAAATTGTTCATATATAATTATATATGTATATTTTTAATCATTTATATATGATTATACATAAGCAATTTAGATCGGAAGAGCACACGTCTGAA